CAGAAATATCCAGGGATATTATAGTCCTAACAGAATGTTGGCTTTCTTCAACGAGGCAAATTCCTGACCTTGAGAATTATTATATTATAGTAACAACTTTTCATAATTCTCAAAATGAGAGAGTTGTACTATATTACATTAAAAATATTAACGTTACTTTTGAGGAACCTCATATAAGTGATGCCAACTGCCTCGGAAAAAATCCTATGGATGAAAATATTAGAATTACTTACAAACGTTACGAAGTAGAGCCTTTGCCGGATAAGGTCTCGCTTTGGGGCAACTAAATCTAATTAAATAAAATGCCGAGGAGACACAAGTTTGCGCGTTTACCATTAAAAAGAACCCCTTTGTCGTAACTCTTCAATTTCAGGGCACTCCATTGTTTCATGGTCACTTGGAAAGGAAGACTGAATTGGCCTCTAAAAACCTTAGCGTGCTCTGAAGAGCGGGACAGTATTTTATGCGGGCACACTACTTGCAACTTTACAAGGGGCAGGTTCGGGTTAACATGGAATACTGTCCTCATCCCTGGACCGGGGCTCCCTAGTACCGGCTCCTTCCACTTGACCGTATCCAGCGCAGAGCGGCTCGAATCGTCGACGACCGACGAACACGAAAGACGAGACGAAGAGATGTTGCATCCCTTTGCAATTTCTATCGCATTTACCACGGGAGTGTTCAGAGGAATTGTTCGGATTAATTCCAGCCACAAAATTTCATCAACGCATTTCACAAATCCACATCATCGGGATGTTTGGTGGTCCACTACTGTTGGACCGATACGACTTAAGGAGCTTCAATAAACGAGCTTACTCCTTTTTAAAAAGCTGGCAACGCGCCTATACGCCTTCTCTTCTATATAAAAAAGATAATAAAACGAAGTAGCAATTATCTTTAACAATGTTCTATTTATGTTCTGGAAGTGGGAGTAATTTTTGTGATTTCAATACGAGCCGTTCGCGGTCAGGGTTAAAAAGTTACAACTCGAAATTTTTTATACAACTAGGATAGTTAATTTTTGAATTTCGATCTTGGAGGCCAAGAGGCCCCTTTAGCTTGGAAGCCCCGGGCACTGCCCCGCTTAGCCCCTGGGTAGCTACGCCACTGCATTCAACAAGTGTTTGTATGGCCTACAAATAATTGTTTACGCTTTGGATTTTTGTCCATGTTCGATGTATCTATATCAATCGTGGAGGATACGGAAGAAAATCTTAACATGAAGGTGACATTCTTTAAGTAAAATCAACAAAGAGGGAAAGAGAACAGAATACTTCTGAGAATATTAACAACTACCTATAATTATAGATAAAACGTCAGAGAGTTTTACAATGAATATTTATTTGCAACAAGTGTCTTCCCGTGTACAAAAACAATGAAGCGGAAATAAGATGATAGAAGTACATTTGCGAGATACAGATACTGGGCTCTCAAAGAAATTTTAAAATCACAACACAGTATAAAGTCAAAAAGATAGTTATGAATACTACAATCTTACCAAATGCAACATTTACAAGACTAACCTGGATAGTGAATATAAAGAAATAAAAATTAATAAACTGTTTTTATAATAGCTTAACAGTGCATGAAGTAGAGTTAATAGCGTTAAACACTTACTTAAAATTCTTGAAGAAAATAACATTGCCTTACGCACATTCCCAAGGCGTTTAAATTACATAACTTGTGAAACATATTAAAGCCAGACAGGTTCGCCGCAGGCAATTCTAATCATTGTTAAGAAAAAAATTGGACGAGCAAGCATATTAACGAGTTTTAGCGTCCGGTCAAACAGCGAGAACACCATACGAATACTAATTTACTTGACCTTGGACAGAATCACGTTTCCTTTCGAAATGGGTTCGTGAATGCGATATTTTTAGAATAAAAGTAAAAAGAGCACGACCGAGAAAAATAAAAGGGTTGGACGAACGAATCGTCCCAGTTTTTGTTTGGTCGACCGTCTTTTTCTACTTTGATGGTAGTTCAGTTATCTAAAAAGATCTTTTGTTCATCATCATCCTGGCCCTGACATAAATATTCGTAGATTCTTTAGCTTTCAGTTGACGAAAGTAAAACGCTATTAAAACATAAAACACTTTGAATATACGAATAAAATTTATATTTTAAAGACAATGACCAATAAAAAATCAATGATATTATATAACATGGTTAAGCGTATTTAGAAGCTTTTGTTTCTTGTCTGGTATCAATGTTTTTATGGCTTATTATATTTTAAGTTAAGTTACTAAAGTGTTGGATAATAGTTATATTTATTTTATACTAGCTGTTCACCGCGACTTTGCCCACGTGTTAGGGTTTTTATGCTTTTGGGCGGAACCCTAATTCTTTTTCTAAAATAAAAGTAGCCTAAGTTACTCCTTATGAAATCAGCTATCTGCCAGTGAAAGTCCCGTCAAAATCGGTTCAGCCGTTTCGGAGATTAGCCGGAACAAACAGACAGACAGATAGGCAGACAAAAATTTTAAAAATTGTATTTTAGTTTTAGGTACCGTATTTGCTTTCATATGCATTTAGGAAAAAACTGTAATTTTGAGATTACAAACAGATACTTCAATTTTATATATTTGTATAGATTTTTCTAGTCTGAATAATAGTTTTAAATTCAAGTGTATGGTAAATATGTGTTTAAAGTATTTATATTATGCATTATTTAGTGGTATGTGGCCAACACACAATTTTGATGAAACTGGTTTAACCTAAGCTAAACTTGTTTAGTGAACGCTATTTCGATCAAGCAACTAGGCAATATTTAAGATAACTAGAGTGTTTGAAAATACAATAAGAATTCCTAGGAGAAATAAACTTGGCTCTACATTAAATTTCGAAACTTTTTAATTACGAGTTAGTCATGAAAATTTAATATAGATTCTAGGCCACACTCTTGTATTGCAAAATTAAATAGTTATCGAAAATTTGGAACGTTTTCATGTTTTCTGACATCACGATTTAATGAAGAAGTCACTAAATGTTATATTAACAGTGGCTCAATAAATGTACAATTATTTTAACGGAAATTAGTAATTTCTTCCTCGTAATATCTTTTAAAATTACACTAATTAGTGTAATTTTAGAAGGAAATCACAATTATCATACAATAATATTACAAAACTATAAGATACGATATGTATTTTTGAGGTGCAATTTTAGAATCTATCAACTGAAAATCTAACATTCTTCGGTCACTTCGCCAGTCGTCGCCTTCTGAAGCGTTGTTTCCTGGTACCTGCAATCATTTACACATAAAGAAAACCACAAATGCCGCAACGCCTGTAATTGTATATTGGTTCTTTCTTTTCAAACCCGAATACACCAGTTGGGGCACTGCTGCTTAGTGGTAGTAATAGGGCAGAGGGTGGTACTGTGACGTAGAGTTTAGTTGTACTTATATTTTGTTAATATATTGAATTTGAGTTGAATAGTAAAAGACTAATAAAAAAGAGTGTCACAGAATTTTTACTAACTTATTACAATAATATTCACGGCTAGAACGTTTTTGACTGGTTTCGAATCTATGTTCTCACTCTTATCTGACAGACAGACTTTGGATTCGCTGAAGGAATAAGAGGACGCTACCATTCCTGAGTAGATTAATTGGCCGGTTTTGGTTTGAATGGTCTGTCTAGGCAGAGTGGCGGCTAAAGATTGTTGCTTCGCTAAACTTGCGTTAGCTAGTGCGAGGAACTGTGGAGGTTTTAAAAAGTCGCAACATTCCAGAGGTAGGACTCTAGTAGAAGAATCTTGGTATTGCGAAAGAGTGCAGGAAGGCAGCTTCGCATGCGATAAAGGAGTCAGCCAGCCGTCAGCTGAGTTAGGGGGGCGAGGCGAGGAAATTGGAGGAAGCTTGGAGGATCGAATATTGCAGATAGCATACATGGTAGAGCTATGTTGCAGCTATATTAGTAGTATAGTTGTAGCACGAATGGGTCGGCGCGACCAGGGAAGGACCACGCTCTCACAGAATACCAGAGTAAAATAGCAGCTTAGCACTGCTGCGTTTCGTATGGTGAGTGTAAAGAACCGGAGACCCTATTTATTGGAAAAGAGGCATTCCGTCTTAGTCCTCACGGGTGACGACGCATCTGCATTTTGATTCTTTATTGAGGATAAATGTAGATCTCTATGGGTCGCAGCAATCAATGCGATGGACGGTGTGCTCGTTTGCCACCCTATCCTATAAAAAAAAAAAACTAGTATTAAAATAATTTGATGCAAACGCGTATATGCACGCACTAATAATTCTGGCAAACCAAAGATTGAATTGACAGCCTAGATTTACTTGATTGACACGTGGCGTGCAGCGCACATTATAAAGTATTAGTTTTAATATAATTTAAAAACACAATATATAATGTACGTATTAGCTATAAGCCCCTAAAACCCCACGTCACAGTACCAATCCTGAAGTATCCCTAGAAAGAAAGTATCTGTAACACTACATCTGGCATCCGATTGTATTGCAAAGGTGTCATCGGACTCTGGTAGGTTAATACTAGTGTGTGCCTAAGTATAAGCATGTAGTAGGCGTGTACAGCCATTCAAAACTCCAATTCTGAACATAGACCTCCCTCAAAGATTACCTCATAAGGGGGATATTTGTCATGCTTTTTTTATAGGATACGGTGACAAACGAGCACACAGTCCACCTGAAGGTAAGTGGTTGCTGTGACCCATAGACATCCACATCTATCCTCAATAAAGAATCAAAATGCAGATGCGTTGTCACCCGTGAGGACTAAGATGGAATGTCTCTTTTCCAGTAAAAAGGGTCTCCGGTTCTCTACACTCACCATACGAATACACAGCAGTGTTAAGCTGCTATTTTACGCTGGTATTCTGTGAGAGTGTGGTCCTTCCCCGGTTCAGCCGACCCGTTCGTGCTACAACTATACTATTAATATAGCTGCAGCATGGCGCTACCACGTAAAAGACACGAGACAGGCAGCAAACGTAGGTTTTTGTTATTTTGAGTTGTTGTGAATATGCCTATCTCCTTTAACATTTTCGTTTTTTGTCTCATACGATACCCATACGATGGACATGGATTAGTGGATATTCTTACGTCGCCTGTTCACAACGACGTGACACTAAATAATAATTATGTATGTACTAGCTGTTCCCCGCGACTTCGCCCGCGCGTAATTTATTACGATTGAATTTCATGGGTTTTATTTTTTTGCGCGGAACCCTAATTCTTTTTCTAAAATAAAAGTACCCTAAGTTACTTTTTATAATATCAGCTATCTACCAGTGAAAGTCGGGTCAAAATCGGTCCAGCCGTTTCAGATTAGCCGGAACAAACAGACAGACAGACATCGTATCGTATACACTGTTTTTAACAGTGGTAGAGCCACGCGGCAGCTTTTGCTGTCGCACGGATGGGCCGGCTCGAACCGGGGTGGTACCACGACCTCACAGAAAACCAGCGTGAAGTAGAGATTTACCTCTGCGTTTCGCTTGGTTAGTGCAGGTGGCCGGAGGCCCTTTTTACTGGAAATGAGGCATTCCATCTTAGTCCTCACGGGTGACAACGCATCTACATTTTGATTTGTAATAGAGGATAGATGTAGATGTCTATGGGCCGCAGCAACCACTTACCATCAGGTGGACTGTGTGCTCGTTTGTCACCCTTATTCTATAAAAAAAATACACTCTCATATGCATATAGTAAAAAAGCTGTTATTTCGACATTACAAACAGACACTTCAATTTTATTTATTTGTATTGATTAAAACCACACGTTGTCTTTTGTCTATAATTTGTTTCATAATCCTTTTATGAAGATCTGCAAAAGTTATTATGTTGTCAATCGTGGTTATTACGATAAACCAACGAAAAAAGGCCTATGTCCAAAAATTATGTACATTTAAAACAGTTGACGATGACGAGTAAGAAATGTTTTCTCCTTTTGAACTTTGTAATTGTAATATCCGCCGTGTAGTGGCAGATTAAGACTATCCACTTCCCCATATTATTATCCTGTTGGTGTCATAAGCGGCGATAGAAAGACACTGAAATAGGAGATAATCGGTAGCATCTTCTTGGTACCATATCAAAATAATAAAAATGCGATTCGCAACAGCAGTTTTTAAAAGACTGTAATGAATAAATTAATGAATGTATGATAGAGTCTAATATCTCCACATGTAAACATTTTAAATTTTATTGAATCGTTAATTGGAAAATACAAAGTCATCGGACTGTCTTTTGATATTTGTTTTTAAAAACGTAAATTGTTCTAATATTTAATTGATGATTACATGTTTTATGTGAAGTAAGTTAACTTCACGTTGCAGAAGGGCTCTACTGGGCATAGTACAATGACATCGACAAAGCTGCTATTTTCGTTTGTTTCTGGATGTCGGCCAACGCCGCGGGCGCGGGCATTGCGTAAATAAACGCACATGACAAACGCGCGCTCGCCAGAACTGTTTTGGATGCGTAATGGACCGTAGTGGAGAGAGCCGAACGGTTATGGTCAGACTGTTGTTATTGGTAGATTATCTTCAAGTGTTCAAGATGGAATGAAAGAAAGAATATGTTTTTTTTTTCAAATTCCAAACTCATTTGCACTTGGTACACCCTGCCGCTTGATGCTATGACGACAAGCTTACATATGTCAACAAATCTATACACGTAACCAAATTCTACAGCTTAGTGTATGGGGCATATAAGTTCTACCTGTCCGATCGATGATTTTTGCAGATTTTAATAAAAAATATTTACATTATCATATTTATATTATATATCATTATCAATATATCAAATAAATGATATTTAAGTATCTTCTTATTTAAGAATTTGCGAATTTCCTACATATTTGCCTACATGCGTTTCACTGCTGGGCACATGCCTGCCTTTTTTTAACATGTAGTAGAACCTCGCTGTAGTGCGAATGAGTCGACTTGACCGAAGAAGGACCACGCTTTATTGAAGCGGATACATTAATACGAAGGAAGGAATGCATTATACAATAGTATAATGTATCTATAGTGAGGACGCCGGAGACCCTTACTGATGACGAGACATTCCATCTTAGTTCTCCGGGACAGCGCGGCTCCAATATGATTCTTAATGGAGGATAGATGTAAATATCCATAGAGCCCATCTCCAGGATCCACTTGCCATCAGTGCGATTTCGGGCTGTTTTGTTATACTTACTTTAAAAGAGATTCAGATGTTAAAGTATTGAGGAGAGCCCACCGCGTTACTCCAGTAGTATTGGTGGACTTCACATCATATGACAATCCTAAACTTTCAGAGAGGGATAGCCAGATACCACAGACTTCAATTCTATACACGGTAGAGCCATGTTGCAGCTATATTAGTAGTATAGTTGTAGCACGAATGGGTCGGCTCGACCGGGGAAAGACTACGCTCTCACAGAATACCAGAGTAAAATAGCAGCTTAACACTGCTGTGCTTCGTATAGTGAGTGTAGAGAACCGGAGACCCTTTCTACTGGAAAAGAGGCATTCCACCTTAGTCCTCACGGGTGACAAAGCATCTGCATTTAGATTCGCAAACGAGGATAAATGTAGATGTCTATGGGCCACAGCAACTACTTACCTTATCCTATAAAAAAAAAATTTGCACGATTCTGGCTCACCTCTCTCACTTCTTTGACAATCATATATCTCCGCATACATAATCATCGGTTGATGGTGCTCTTAATATGGTCGATAAACTTTTACTTGGGCGGACCTAGATCTAGAACGTTGCCAATTGCTGTGCTCCTTACTGATCTAGCATACATTTGCTCTGTCACTTTTCTCCATTCACTCTTTCTTCGTGCCCATACGACTATATCATTTCTTTTTTAATCCTGACAAGTTTTTGAAATATATGTCATTTCTCGTGCATGAAGATTGTCCCTCGATGTTTTTGTACACCATCGATATCGTAATCTACATTTACAATAATGGGCATCAATTTCGGCGCCGGCGCTGGGAATTGAACTGGAATTGCTTATGCTTTTTGAAATGAGTACCGCTGAGTTACCCTAATACATACATACATATAATGTAACTTACAACTAATATTTGTCATATTAACATTCATCATAAGTTTCGTTAGCAAAAATCCTTCGTATTTGGTATGCTAGGTAGGTCTAATATAATAAATGACTAAAAGTATTGCGTACCACTCATACTATTTAGCATGCGGAAACGATTTAGCGCGGGTGACTCACTACAACTGTTTCGTTGATGCTCCGACTATCGTAACGAGGTCTGATATTATACCCTAACACAGTTTAAATAAAATGTAGTTTATTAAATACGAACATAATAACAGCGTGTCTTTATTATAAATATTAAATGGATACGAATAAATTAGGTGCTGAGTAGAAATTAACGGATACGTATTGCGGTTGTTATATTCTTAATTATATCTATACAAATAAATAAAATTGAAGTGTCTGTTTGTAATGTCAAAATTACAGTTTTTTACTAAATGCATATGAAAGTAAATACGATACCTATAACTAAAATACAATTTTTAAAATTTTTGTCTGTCTGTCTGTCTGTCTGTCTGTTTGTTCCGGGTAATCTCCGAAACGGCTGGACCGATTTTGACGGGACTTTCACTGGCAGATAGCTGATTTCATAAGGAGTAACTTAGGCTACTTTTATTTTAGAAAAAGAATCAGGGTTCCGCGCAGAAACATAAAAACCCTAACACGCGAACGAAGTCGCGGGGAACAGCTAGTTGATAATCATCATTCTCTAAACCATTTCCCATTATCTGGGGTCGGCGCAGTAAATCTTTTTGTTCCATTCCTCTCTATCAGCCGTCATTTCCATACTTACTCCTTTCATTCTCATATCACTCTTCACACAATCGATCCATCTTTTATTCGGCCTTCCTCTGCCCGTGTGTCCCTCCACATTCATATTCAACACTCGTTTTGTGACATGACTTTCATTCCTCCGCATCACATGCCCAAACCATGCCAATCTGCTTCCTCTCACCTTTTCTACCACTGGCGCTACTTTCATCATCATTATCATCATCATTACAGCCCTTCACAAGTCCACTGCTGAACATAGGCCTCCCCCAAAGAATGCCACAAAGCACGGTCCTGAGCCACCTGCATCCATCGACTTCCTGCATGTCTTACCAGGTCGTCACTCCATCTCGTGGGGGGACGCCCTACACTTCGCCTACCGGTACGAGGTTGCCACTCGAGAACCTTTCTTCCCCATCGGTTGTCGGTTCTTCGAGCTATATGGCCGGCCCACTGCCACTTCAGCTTTCTAATTCGTTGGGCTATGTCGGTTATTCTGGTTCTACTGCGGATATCCTCATTCCTAAGTTTATCACGCAGAGAAACTCCGAGCATAGCCCTCTCCATAGCTCGCTGAGCGACCTTGAGCTTCCTCATACGGCCAGCAGTGAAGGACCACGTCTCAGTTCCGTAAGTCATCACTGGCAACACGCACTGGTTGTACAATTTCGTTTTAAGGTTTTGAGGTATGTCTGACGAGAAGATGTGTCGTAGCTTCCCGAACGCTGCCCAGCCGAGTTGAATCCGTCGATTGACCTCTCGGTCGAAGTTGGACTTACCTAGTCGGACTATTTGTCCCAGGTAAACATACTCGTCAACAACTTCGAGCTTAGTGCTCCCAACAACTACCGGCATAGGTGTGACATGGACATTAAACATAATCTTTGTTTTGTCCATGTTCATCTTAAGACCTATCCGTTGGGAAACACTATTGAGGTCATTGAGCATAGTGCTTAGGCCCTCCAGCGATTCTGCCATAAGGACTATATCGTCGGCAAATCGAAGGTGAGTGATGTACTCGCCATTGATGTTGATACCGTATCCTTTCCAGTCCAGAAGCTTGAAAACGTCTTCCAATGCAGCGGTGAAGAGTTTCGGGGATATGACGTCACCCTGTCTTACACCTCTCTGCAATTGGATAGGTTTCGTACTCTGGTTCTGTACTCGGATAGCCATCGTAGCCCTACTGTACAAGCACTTCAACACTTCGATATACCGACAGTCAATTTGGCACCGCTGAAGGAACTGCAGCACCGCCCAAATTTCGACGGAATCAAAGGCTTTCTCATAGTTCACATACGCCAGACATAGTGGCAAATTGTACTCTTCGGACTTCTGTACAACTTGCCGAAGGGTATGTATGTGGTCTATGGTGCTAAAGCCCTTTCGGAAACCGGCTTGTTCGGGAGGCTGGAAGTCGTCAAGTCTGCGCGCGAGACGATTCGTAATGACTCTCGAAAACAGCACGTAGACGCGGCTCAGAAGGGAAATCGGTCTGTAGTTCTTCAAGAGAGCGTTGTCACCTTTCTTGAAGAACAAGACCACCACACTTCTGCTCCACGCCTCCGGTGTAATGCCACCATGGAGGACGGAATTAAAGAGCTTCTGAAGGACTTCAAGTACCGGTCTTCCACCCGCTTTCAGAAGCTCCGCTGTAATTCCATCCTCGCCTGGGGCCTTACCGTTTTTAAGGTGCTGGAGAGCCATTCTAATCTCGCTCAGACTGACGTCCGGGATATCTTCGGAATAGTGTCGGATGAGACTCGCTCTTGGATCGTTACTCACACTTGCGTGTGGCTCCAACGATGACGTGTACAGCTGCCCATAGAACCTCTCAATCTCACTCAAAATCTCAGGTGTCCCGGAAACGATGCTGCCACATTCCGTCTTCAGCTTTGACAGTTGGCTCTTTCTGGCAGACAGATCTCTGGCAAAGACTTTGGAGCCTTGGTTTCGCTCTATCGCTTCTTCAATACGAGCTGTATTGAAGTTGCGTAAGTCCCGCCGCATGCATTTGGAGATCTGTCTGTTCAGATGCCTGTATGCTGTCAAGTCTGTTGAAGAATGTAGCTTCATCTCCCGTCTAACAGCCATGAGATTAAGAGTGTGATCTGAGAGTTTTTGTGTTCTTCTGCGGCGGGTCTTGCAGAACTTAGCTCCGACCGCATGGACAGTTTCCACGAGCTTGTCATTTATATCGTCCACTTCATTGCAGTCTTCTAGGCACTGAAATCGGTTTTGTAACTCGAGCTGAAAGGTTTCGGGACTTTGGAACAGAGCACGAAGGGGACGGAGCGTTGACTTCATTAGACGAGACCTCTCCAACTTAACGTTCAGGTTCAGTGTGCCTCTAACCATTCGGTGATCGCTACCAGTTTTCACCCTTGCGATCACGGAGACATCACTGAACAGTTGTCGTCTGGTCGTCATAATGAAGTCAATCTCATTTTTTGTCGAACCGTCGGGGCTCGACCAGGTCCACTTCCTGTGGGGCCGCTTCTGGAAGAAAGAGTTCATCATAAAGAGTCCCTCTTTCTCCATGAAGTCGGCCAGCTGCTGGCCCCTTGGGTTCCGTTGGGTGCGCTACTTTCAGGCTTCCTCTTATATACTCATTCCTTATCTTATCCATCCTTGTCACACCACACATCCATCGTAACATTCTCATTTCATTCGCATGCAGTCTATTTTCATCCTTCTTCTTGATAATATAATTACTAATAATAATTACTCATCATAATTTGACTGCCTCGTTGGTTTAGTGGTCATAATTCTAATCATAGATTCGAATCTCGGGTGGAATCAATAATCAACTATTGGATTTTTCTGCTAAGAAATTCTTAGTAGCGGACCGTGGACATGAAGTTGACGGTGTTTTATTTACCCTAGTGCGTCGAAAAGCACGTTGAGCCGTTGGTCATGCGCCTGATCTCTCCCCGTTTGTGTCAAATTGCCATTCTATCGGACTATGAGTGTCAGGAAATACACAGTGATCCTACCTCCTATGTTTGCGCAACAGCTAGTTATGAATATAAAAAACTAGCTGTACCCCGCGACTTCGCTCGCGTAATAGGGTTTTTAAGTTTTGCGCGGAACCCTAATTCTTTTCTAAAATAAAAGTTACTCCTTATGAAATCAGCTATCTTCCAGTGAAAATCCCGTCAAAATCGGTCCAGCCGTTTCGGAGATTAGCCGGAACAAACAGACAGACAGACAGACCGACAGACAGACAAAATTTTAAAAAATTGTGTTTTTGTTATAAGTACCGTATACGCTTTCATATGCATTTAGTTAAAAGCT